GTTGTGTGCTTCAAGTCATTTCTGACTTATGGCAACTCTAAGGTCAACCTATCATGGGATTTTCTAATACTGTGTGACTTTTCCAAAATCACCCAGTGGGTTTTCATGACCAAGTGCAGATTCAAACCCTGTTCTCCAGAGGCATAGTTCAAACATCTATCCCATATCCACATATATAAATGCAGACATGCGCACAGTTACTTGAGGGTAAGCCTAACCAAGCACAACATAACTTTTTCTGAGAAAATACTCATAAAATTGTGCTGCTTATGAAGGGAAATAACATTTTGTGAGCATTTGTCAAGAGAAGCTGGCAAAAACAACAGAAAATCATATTGTCTTTTTTCTTTTTCTGGCAGATTATGGAAAGCAGTAGTAAAAAAAAATGCAATATGATGCCTGTCTCATCCTTTGCAGGAAAAACATGAGCAAATTGTTTCTAAAATAAAGTTAATTGTATCACAGATCATTACATTTAAGGCTGACAAATTAGCTGTAAGGAAAACAAAGAGAACAGAGAAAATGAAATGGGAATGCGGTGTGTAAAAAGCTTTCTAAAACAATCTCTGATGTTAAAGGATCAGCTGCAATGATATCACATCTTTAAAAGCAGGCAAAGCATAATGTGTGTGCAAAATTCTACCTATGATATTCAGACAATTTTCTGAAGAGTATTGTTCCACTGTGCAGACTGGCAGAACGCCTTGTAATCTCTCAGCAAGTACTTGGAAATAATACACTATACGTTTTCTGAACAAAACAAAAAAAAAGGTAAAGAGAACTGACCCCATTCATTACAATCCTAGGCAATAAACAGAAATCTTTCTGTTTCTGATTCAAGTCTTTCCAGGTTTATACAAATGAAGCAAAACTGTGCTTTCTACTCAAAAGAGGATGGTATTTGTAGATGCAGGCTAGCCTTAAGATGGTTACAGTTGTGATTCCAGGGGTCCAAACAGAAGTTTGGTAGCACTAGACACATTTTAAAAACATACAACTTTTGAAATAAAGAAAAGTAATGAACATAACTATTTTTTATTTCAGGTGTGAATTCAGAATGCTACACATGGTTGACGAATAATACAAAACACACGCAAGTGTGAAGCTAGATGCTTTGAATACCTATTAAAATGATTATAATTGCTATAGGTGCATGGCAAAAGAATTACACCGTATTACATTACTGTCACAAGGTAATTTAGCTATTGTCAAAATTTTGCAAATGGCAGACAATGGATTGGTCAACATGCTGCTGCTACTGTATTTATTCCATTCCATTTTTCTCCTGATAGCAGAACTCAAGACAATTAACAATATGTTTAAAATAGTACACATTGAAAACAATTCAAAAACATTAATAACAGTCTAAATATAAAAAAGCAATTAATTCATAAAATTACGCCATTAAAAATGGTGTAATTAAAGATTATGGTCAAATCGTATAAACAGCACTGTACAGCATTAAATTCTACTGAATTCTGAAAGACTGGTGGCACAAAGATGTGACCTTCCAGCTGCAAGAGAACAAAGATGAGGCCACATTGGCCTCTCTAGGGTGGGAGTTCCCAAGTCTAAGATCAGCCACTGAGAACACCCTTTCCCTTGTTCCTACCAAAGGAGACTGAAAGGTGGTGGGACAAAGAGAAAGGTTTCTTAGAGCTGCAATGGTCTAGATCAGTGGTTCTCAGCCTTCCTAATGCCACAACCCCTTAATACAGTTCCTTATGTTGTGGTGACCCCCAACCATAAAATTATTTTGTTGCTACTTCATAACTGTAATTTTGCTACTGTTAGGAATCATAATGTAAATATCTGATATGCAAGATGTATTTTCATTCACTGGACCAAATTTGGCACAAATACCCAATACTCTCACATTTGAATACTGGCGGGGTTGGGGGATTGATTTTGTCATTTGGGAGTTGTACTTGCTGGGATTAATAATACACCTACAATCAAAGACCATCCTGAACTCCACCAATGATGGAGTTGAACCAGTCTTGGTACACAGAATTCCCATGACCAACAGAAAATACTAGAAGGGTTTGGTGGGCATTGACTTTGAGTTTACATCCAGAAAGCACTGTGGACCTCATCAATGATGGATCTGGACCAAACTTGGCACAGGTACTCAATATGCCCAAATGTGAACACTGGTGGAGTTTGGGGAAAATAAACCTTGACATTTGGGAGCTGTAGTTGCTGAGATATACAGTCCACCTACATCAAAGAGCATTTTGTACCCTACCAATGATAGAATTGGGCCAAACTTCTCACACAGAACCCCCATAACCAACAGAAAATACTGTGTTTTCTGATGGTCTCTGGTGACCCCTCTGACACTCCTTCGCACCCCCCCTCCCCAGGGGTCCAACTCCCAGGTGGAGAAACGCTGGTCTAGATTATCTTAAAGCTGTAATGAGCTCTATTGGTGACTTAGATTTTCACAGGAGCAGCTTTTGCATGTGTGCATTCCTTTTTGGGCAGGGTATACGTCCTGGTGAATGGTTTTTATGTAATTTTATGTAATTTATGTAATGTAATTGGTAACTTAATGTTGTGTATTATGTTTTAGATTTTCAGTGTTAGCATTGAATCTTTGCTGTTAGCCAGTCTGAGTCCCTCTGCAGAAGCAGAGAAGATCGGGATATAAGTTTTAAATAAATAAAATAAATAAATAAATAAAGAGTGTTAATCTATTGTCCTTGCACTCTATCCCAAAAATCTCCCATATCTAGCAGCTCCCAACCTCCCATGTCCAGCAGCTATTGAGCCCCTTATCAGAGGAAAGGTGTGTCGGTGTAATTCATTATTCCATGCCTGCTGAACTTGCAGAGGACTCCTTGAACTCTTGGGAGGTGAGGGTGATTTTGTTGTTCTGAAATGAAGGTGTGTGGAAACAGTTCTGCCCTGTTGTACTACCTCAAAATACTCAATCTTTTGTTTGACGTTTTTAGGTAGCTGTCACTTCAGCTACTGGTGATGTTTTAAAATAGCTTCTCAATGGGAAGCAAGAAATAAGATTATTCTGTCTACCATATGTCTGTTCCCTTATTATTTCTTTCCATCCACTCTATTCCATTACTACTTGGTTTTCAGGCTTTTATTTTCAACATCTGTCAAAATCATGTGCCATTAAGTTATCAGTGGGTTCTTTTTCAAGAATATCCCCCTTTATGTTCTTTGCTTAAAGTTTTGTTCCCAGAGTTTGGAAATAATAATGAATTATAAATCATGATTGAGATCTTAGATCTATTCTTAGCTTCACAAATATGGGCCCATGTCCCCGCACTTTCTGGTAGGTACCAAGCCTAGGGTGATGGGGCCATTGTTGTCGCTTACTGGTGACTGGAAGAGTGGAAAGGGAGGTTGCTCAGCAATATGTCCTCAAAATGCACTTTATTATTGATTTAGGATTTATTTGCACGCCCTATCCCCTTTGAAATTTCTGTCCCAGTTATCTCCTACCTTGCTCATGCCCAGCATTGTTTTTAAATTTTAATTTTACATTTGGCCCAGCCATAGGTTTTTAAATACTTGTTGTGTTACTGTATTGCTTATTTTTATTTTTGCTTATGAGTTATGTTTTAACTGTTTTGTATTGTTTGTTGCTATTGCTTTATTATTGTTGTATTGTGGGCTCGGCCTCATGTAAGCCGCACCGAGTCCCTTGGGGAGATGGTAGCGGGGTATAAATAAGTTATTATTATTATTATTACTATTATTACTATTGCTTATACTACAATGGGTTATCATCATCATCATCATCATCATGTGTGGAAACATTTTTTCAAGTGTTTTATACTTCTTTTATTATATTATATTGTGTTACGCACACACACACACACATATATGTATGTCTAGATCATTGTGTACCTGAAAAGCAAGATATATCCATTTAAAATAAAATTATAATAATATGTTTGACACTTATTTTGAACACTACTGCAATATTCACTCATTAGAAAAGACTATAATGCTTTGTAAAGTAAGCTACAGTAAGAAAGGGGGAACACTGCTTTACAGAGGAAGACTGCATTAGAGGTCTTCACACACTATATCAAAGAAGCCATGGTCTTGAGAGTGAAGGCCCCGAGCTGGGCTATTAGTGACAGGGTGTCTTGGAGGTCTCTCATTCACAGAAATCCTATAAGATGAAGCCACATTGATGGTAATTAATAATAAACACAGTACTCATAGGAAATAATGGTTTCAGTTAGGATAGGGATGTAACAGAGAACAATCCTAGCAGCCATTTATATTATGGCTTGAATGCTGAGGAAACTGATTTTATTCACTGCAACATAAAAATAACTGTGAGTGAATCCATCTAGATTTCCTGCAATACACAAATAAGAATAACTGGCCCATGGTTGTACAAAGAAATAATCATCAGGACCCCCCCCCCCCCCCAATAGAGGTTAGTTTCAAGCTCATTGGAAATGTGAGTTTGTATTTTAAAAGTGGTCAGACTTAATGGTTAATTTATGCAATATCACTTTACACATATCAACACTTCCAGATTGATGAGTATAAGAAGAGAGTTGGAACATTATGTCTGAGATCTAATAACATAGAAAAGGTATTAATCTGTTCTGTATGTATAAATAACACACAAAGTGACTTTTAAAAAATGTAACATGCCACTGGCTGTACTGGAGTGTGCTGTAGGGACACCAAAGTCCAGAGCCTTGCACATGTTTGACTGCAGAAGGTCCCATGGCCTCCAAATTCAGCTCCAATTGAAAGGACTAGGTGTTGTGAAAAATGTCTGCCAAAGACTCTGGAGAATCCTGCCACTCAAACAAAAAGAAAACTGGAGCAGATGGACAAATCGTCTGACTTACCAACTTCTAAGTTACACATACATGTCTGGCTGGATGAAGATCTGTCTGTACACTCAACAAACCATATTTACATGTGAAGCTCCAGTCATGTCATCAGCAAGGGCTATTTTTCAGCCCCATCTCTTAATTACACTGTAGGTGGGCAACATGAACCTTAAAATCCAGTTTTGTTTCTGCCACTGCCACTGCCAACAAAGCCTGGCGCCCAAAATTGATATTACCTTCCCTTTCCTTGATGTTCTGTTCTGGACAGGCCACTAAGTATTCTGGCATACTTGTGTAGCATATATAATTGCGGGACAATTTTGTTTTCTAGCCACCAGGAATACCTCCCCACTCCACCTACCTGGCTAGATATTACACATTTCTAAATATAAAAAAGGAATACAGATTCCAACATCATATCACATTACCTATGGCTGGCACTCAATGCAGGAATGAATCAGATTTGTCTTTAAAGGACTTTCCCATAGTGCTTAACCCTGTGCTCCAAATAGGTCATGCACCTTGGATAGCTTATTTAAATCTCAAATTAAAACTCAAAGCAGAATCCCTATCCTAATGATATCATGCCACTCTGTCCACTTGTAAGACCCCCTCCACTCAAAAGACTTTCTGTGGAGAAGATGGTGAAAGCAGAAATGCCATTCAGATATGGTTTTGCATGCATTTCTGCTTCACTTTTTTGGATGGGCTCAACCTCAACATTTCAAATTTTGTAATCTCCAAAGAAGGCTAGAACCACAGCTGGTAATCTGACGAGATCGGTGTGCATAGTAGCATTTCATTGCTTCAAGGCTTATGTTTTGTGTAGTTTAATTAGCTTTCACTTCAAATTCCATAGTACTTTTTATGTGTAAATTGTACTCACTAATGTCTGATGGCAAATCTTTGTGACAGCCAACAGCTACAGCAATAAAATGGTACTGAACTACTCATTATACTGACATAAAACACATTTTCTCAGAAACTGCTACTTGTGGGTTTATGACCACTCTATCAGTGGGAAAGAAGTAATTAATAGCACAGTCCTCTACAAATAGGCCAGCCATTTACCTATTGTCAAAAAAGAAGAAAAAGAGCGCAGGTTTGCACACATTTTGCATATGCTATTTGACATGTTATAAGTACATATTACAAAGCAATTACTGTATATCTATTGTTGCTGTGTGTCTTCCGACTTATGGCAACCATAAGATTTGGACTTTTCATTGAGTTTTCTTAGCAAGAGGAGGTTTGCCATTGCCTTCCTCTGAGGAGGAGAGAATGAAACTTGGTCCAAGGTCACCAAGTGGGTTTTGATGACCATGTGGAATTCATCCCTTGTTTCCTAAGTGTCTAAGTACAACACTCAATCCCTATCTTATGCTAGATCTCAGAAATATATTACACCTTGCCAAAATGCAGAGACTGTGGCCATATGAACACTTTCACATGCTATCAATTCTTATGGGATATTTAACCTTAAGTGAGACATTTTATACACAACCCTTCTGACAGATATTTTTTTCTAAATATATCCATCATACACATGTATCTACTAGGGGGGGAAAGTCTTATTGAGCTTAGGTCATACATAATGAACTACAGCCTAATTTTGAACATTTAAATAGAAAATAGTTCAATTTATGCCTAACAGACATCCTAAGTACAGTGGGTGTTGCGTGTTTTCCGGACTGTATGGCCATGTTCTAGAAACATTCTCTCCTGATGTTTTGCCTGCATCTATGGAAGGCATCCTCAGAGGTTGTGAGGTCGGCCATAGATGCAGGTGAAACGTCAAGTGGGAATGCTTCTAGAACATGGCCATACAGCCCAAAAAACCTACAACAACCCAGTGATTCCGGCCATGAAAGCCTTTGACAATACATCCTAAGTACACATAGCTAGAAGGAAGTCCCTTTGAAACCAACTAGACATCTTTGAACCCACCAGGGCTTTGAGATCTTCCGGGGAGGCCCTACTCTTGATCCCGCCTGCTTCTCAAGCATGGTTGGCGGGGACGAGAGACAGGGCCTTCTCGGTGGTGGCCCCTCGGCTGTGGAACACCCTTCCCACGGACATTAGGCTAGCACCATCTCTAATGGTATTCCGTAAAAAAGTTAAGACCTGGTTGTTTGAGCAGGCATTCGAATAACTAGTGCAATAATTGGTAATGAACATAGGAATGGAAAATGATTGACGAGTTTGGATTATGTTTTTGTGGATGAGATGATAGTGATTAGTTATTGTAATAAGTGTTTATTAATTGTTTGCTGCGCGGGATTGCTAACTGTTTTATATCTGACATTGAATTTCTGCTGTTTTTGTTGGTTGTGAACTGCTGTGAGTTGCCTTCGGGCTGAGAACAGCGGTATACAAGTAAAGTAAAGTAAAGTAAATAAATAATAAATAGTTAAGTCTGTTCTGATGTTGATTTATCTAGCACAAATGATAAGAAAGATTAAATTATATATCTTAAATAGTCCTGGATACATTTATGAAAAGTGACACAAATGTTGTGGATGGCATTTTTTCTCTTTGCTTTGGTCAACTTCTTTATCCTTTTTAAATGACAATTTTATTTCTAGTTTGAAATTTACTCTCTATTTTGTTTCTTAAAGCTAAACTGTTTTACATGATTATTTCTTATTTGGGAAAATCTGAAAATAACTCACTGTTATTCAAATTATTACTTGATTAATGCCTTGGCAGATGAACATGAAGCTAAAAATATAATGTGCAGATCCAATACAGTTTACTTTCACACTTCATTGGCTTTTGTTAATTTAGAAGGGATTTTTGTGATGTTTTCATTCATTAAATGTGGATTGCTACTTCTGATGTGTGACAACAGAATATATTGAGTCACCTTTTCCATCAACACTTAATTGGACAATACAGCACATGATGTATAGCTTTCTTTCACTTTCATCTTTCATTATAACAGATCTTATTTATAATTTTCCATCCTGTGTTCCAGAAGTTTGGCTCAATCTTTTGAGGGAAAAAAAATTCTTTCTGCCCAAGTCTTACATATTTATATGAGTATATTGGAAGAAAATAGTGGGTTAAATCCAATTGTTAACCTGTTGCGTCAATTGAATTTGTTAAACAAAAACTTATATTAAAAAAATCCATGAGTTCAACACAAGTATTCCATTGGAGGTTAACAGTCAACTTCAGACACCGAAAAAAATGCCATGGTTAATATGTTTGCATTGAATGTATAGCAAAATCACTGGTACTTTACATTAAGAACTCATCTGGTTTGAAACAACTGAATTACTAGTTTTGAGCTGCTGTATATAAGATGATGTAGTGGTCTGAGCCTTCAACTTTGGCTCTGGAAACAAGGATTCAATTGGCCATGGAAACTGTGTGGTCTGGGGTGAGTGACAAACTCTCAGCCCTCAGAAAACCCCATGACAGATTTGCCTTGGCATTGCCATGAATTGTAAATAAATTGAAGGCACGCACCGACAAATATGACCACTGAATAATTTTGAAAAGCACTCTCTTGTAAAGAAAGTGCTTACCAGTCCTTCGGGACAAACCTTCTTCTTTGGGATCAAAGAAGATCCCCAAAACTACAATTTAAATCTGGAAGGGCAATTGTTTAGCAATTTCTTCCTGTCACCACGAGGCCATCACCCTTTTCCTCCTTCAGACTAGATAATTCTCACCAAAATCCACTTACATTCCGGTTTTTGCCTCCTGCCAAATTTTGGCGTTTGTAGTTTAGTAAGTATATCAAAGACTCCTACCTAAATTACAAATGCCAGAATTCTACAGGAGACAGAAACCAGATTTTAAGTGATTTTTTTACTCTAGTGTGATGAGGCCCCAAAAATATTCATTTTCAATTAAACAGGTTATCTCTCAACACAACTGTTGAGAAACCACTGACCTCTGTGAGATTTATTTTGCTAGAATAATAAGGCAAGGTGCTGTTTTTTGCCCACCATATTTCCTTCCATTTGTGCCTGATTGAAAACGCACACACAAACACAAACACACACAAAGGTTTTCATGAAAAAACACAAAGCAAGACAAAGACAGAAAGCGCACACGTAGAACCTCAAACACGTTCATACACTCACGAATGGTAACATTCCTGCTTTCTCCAGCAATGTGCAAAGTGCCTACCCAGGTTAATTCTGAAACTTACCATTTTACTGTGAGATTCTTTACAGAAGAGTAATCCCATCTGAATCCATGCAAGTCATCACTCTTTTACCCTCAAAACTCCTCCAAGCAACCCACTGCCTCGATTATTTATATTGCGGGTAAAAGTCAATCCCTTTGACTTTTCTGTGGCAGAGTTCTTCAGGTGTCAGTGCGCCCCTTTCTCCAGTTGTATCTCTTCAGAGGCACAAGAGCAAATTGATGTTTTGTTCATTAAAAATTCTAGTGGTAAATATTTGCCGTATAACTCCTGTGACGTGACAAATAAACTGACTTCATAGCAGGAGTAGCATGTGCAAAAACGCCTTAAGTAAACACTGCCAGAGTGAATACAAAGGTTAGAGAGAACAAAGGAACATCAACAATAGCATATACTAGCTTCCTGCTTCTTTCAAGAGTTTTTATGCAATCCCCTTATCTGGTTTAAAAGATCAGTTTTTCTCTATTATGATGGCTAATGTTTCACTACCAATAATAATTTGTGAGTTAATTGGCTTTCCTCATAACTCTACCAGGAAATGGAGAAGTATTTCTGTGAATATGTATTAAAGGTAAGGGCTTGTCACAGTATCAGACAAATAACATCACTGCTTCATTTTTAGTTTTTTATTATTAAAAATAAATAATGGTATATAAAATATAACCACCACAAGAGGAGAACCCATTTTAATCTTTGATAGCAACTTTAAATACTGATAATACCAGCATTAGACCAAAAGTGCTTCTGCTATACTGTTCAATTCTTAATATATATGACATTATATATTTATAATTTATATATATATAATTGAATTACATGTGTGTGGATATATACTCCAGGATAACACTTTGTGCACCTGATGAATTCAATTATCATTTATAAATGTTTGTGAGATGCTATAGACAAATTGGGACCACAAATTATTATAGTTTTTATTTTATAGAGATCTTTTAAAAAATCCACAAAATGCAGAACCTTGGCAACTGGCTATAGATGAAAATCATGGGCCACCAAAGGATGCATATTAACCAACAGATGGAGGTGGAGACTGTGGAGGCCATGGAGGCCAAGCCCAAGGGCCAGCAGAAGCCCAAGCACACCAGGCAGGAGGCCGGAAATCAGCCAG